TCCATTGCAACCCCACATCTTCCAAGGCAGTCTTTACCGACTTCATCACACAACTGTCTCGACTCTGATGAAGCAAAGATCTTCAGGTCATCTATGTATAGAAGGTTCGTAGCCTTTGTATCAATAGGCTTAGATGATGATGATTACGATTATTACTATTCTATTTGGTCAGTGGCCCAGTCTCATCTCCCGAAGAACATTTAAAACTTTACCATCCGCTACATCAACAACTCTCTTCCTACACGTAAGAATTTGGTAAGATGGGGATTATCACAAAGTCCTGATTGTTCCTTTTGCCTTAATCCTGAGTCACTCCTTCATGTTGTCGCTGGTTGTCAACAATGCCTTGATCGCTTTACCTAGAGACACGACTCAATCCTTAACTTCATTGCCAAGTCCCTTCAACCTGTAATTAATGTTAGCTCCTCAATCTATGCAGATATGCAGATGTTACTGGTTTTCTAAATCCCTCAATAGTAACTGGTGAAAATTATCGCCCATATCTTCTTTTGCTAATCCAGTCCAAGTGCCTATATGTTCTAGAATTAACAGTTAGTTTCGAATCTAACCTGTACAACAATGCAGTACGTAAAAAAGAAAAATATAGCAACTTGATTAACGAAATGAGTAGAACTTTCAGATGTGTGAAATTTGTAAATCTCTCCAGGAGCTCCCTTGGCGTTTTCTCAGATGAATGCTCTACGATCTTAGCCATGACGAATGACAGAGGCATTGACAAAAAGCAGCAGCCTTACATAATCAAGAAAATGATAAAAATAGCTATTAGAGCAACGCATTACGTCTTTTGTTTTAGAAATAGGAATTGGGACAACCCAGATTTGATGCAATTTTGATTTTTGTGTATGTGTTGAGTAAGCCAGTCTCAAGCAGCATTTGTAAATTGCCTATACGTAGTGAGATTTACAATTGTACATTTAAAAACACAAATAAAGTTTCCATTATTCTCACTGAAAGTTGTCATCAGTCAGATTTCAGACCTCCAAGGACAACATTTTAGAATCTGGAACGGATCATGGGAAGTAGAGGACCTTGGTATCTTGGAAAACAGTGCTGTATTTTTATGAAAGCCTCGTAAATTAGGACAGGTACAAATAGCTGAGAACTCAGTGATCCATATCTTGGTATTTCATATCATATTCTGTGTCGGCTCACTGCAGGATTAACTATGCTCCGGCCTTTTAGAATCCCCCCTCCTCTGTTTGGCGAAGAGCTGCGCCCTGTTTGTAAACACACAAAAAACCTCTATTCTTGTATTAGCAGTTAAACTGTTGTGCCGCAGTACAGGATTTAATGGTGCCAAAGTTTTTTTAAACAAAATCTTTCCTTCCTGCATTGGAAGAACACTCTGGAACGCTTGGTAGCAGGTGGGGCAACAAAATTTATTCAATCCAGCGAATTTAACTTTATTTCAAGAAAAAAAAAAGCCAGTGATCTTCTTGACCTCTTGCCATTACTGGAATCGAAGATGGCAGGAACCTTTTATGTTTTGAAGTATTGCGCATCCTTTGGTGGATAACATTCATGCCCGTACCGGCACAGAAACACTCACGCCTAAAATATCTTACAGAGCTACCCCATAACATTGGGTCTGGAACCATCCTTTTATACTACGCTTCAATCAAACTTTAAAGGCTAGTTATTTAAGTTTAGCCGTTTTTTAACAAAACCGCGTTCAAAACCATTTTCGATACAGCCGAAACTTTAGTCTGAACATTTACTTTTGTGAACAATGTCAAGAGGGCCTAAAGCTAATTGTGGAGGGACATTTATTTAATCAAATTAACCCTCTTATAGAGAATCTCTAGGGCCCACTTCCTGCCTAAAACCGCGTTCTGGCTGAAACCTCATGTAAATTACCGGCCCATAGATTTTAGCTATGACTTTCGCATCAAGTACTGCACCATTCCCAAGTGAGGTGATAACTCCAATAAGGCATCGATTGGAACGATTTTATTTTTCTCTTTGCGCTCTGTGATAAGTTAATTAAAGCAATAGTCCAGCATTTTTTGGTTTTAAATCGCAATAGACTATCGGAAGATTTTAGCTTAATATTCTTTTAAAATTTCAACGGGTTTACATGATCATAAGGCACTGGGTGCTTGAGCTTCAATTCACTTGAGATACTAACTGAGACTTTCCATTGTACTAAGCGATCGATATCTTTACGCTTTGTCCAAGTTATCCAATGTCTCAAGCCCAAGAAGTGGCATGAATTAGACAAGCGCTAAGTATTCGAGGAAGAGCTGCCATTGTTAGTGATGGATTCAGTTCGTCCCCAACATCATCTAAATCGCATAAAGAACAATTTATTGTTTAAAGTTGTCTCGTCGCGTTGCACATCCTTTCAACTTGTTGGTTTTTTTTGTTTCGTTTGTTTTTATTTTAAATACCTTTTAGCCATTTTCGTTCGTTTAATATTCATTTCCTCAAATTCAAATTTATTTTTCTCAAATTCGGCAAAATCTACCAAGCTTTGAGCGAAGTATAAGAACTGTAAAGAGACGCGTATGGGTGAAAAATTATAACCTTACGGAGAGTTGTCATGCTGAGCATCAAATGACAAATTTCAACGAAAAACTCGCTAATTAGAAGAAAACAGTTTCTTACGGCTGGTTATCATGGCAACGAAAAAAGCTACTTGTTTGCTTAGTTTGTTGTTGTCATTGTCTTTTCTTTTTTGTTTCGGTGTTTTCTCGCAAAATGAAGCGTAGTGCAATAAATATCGCACGTTATTCTACTATATGTCCATAGTAATAATGCTTTTAAAGCCAGGATACCCTTGGATTGTATTAAGTACGATATTTTTTTGCGAGGTTTGAAGCCAATTCTTTTGTTTTTGAATCAAGAGAACAGGCAAATCCATGTTCTGTTGTTGTTGATTAGACAAAATCTTTTCCTTTTTGACTGCAATCGATATCCTCTCTAGTTGAAACCGATTCATCCATGAGCAACAGTTATTTTGCTGTATACAAAGCGAACTAGAAACAGTTCAAAATTGTGCTGCCCGCCTCGTCTCGTGCGAGCCGAGGTATGCACGTGCTACGCCAATCCTCAGGGAACTGCACTGGCTGCCAGTGGAAAGTCGCATCATTTTTAAATTTTATTATTAGTTTATAAATCACTTAATAATTTAGCTCCTGCATATATTAACTGTCTTTTGAAAAATTATGAAATCCAGTCGTAATTTAAGGTCGGTCGATCAGGGTCTTCTGACGATTCCTAGATCCAATCAAAACACCTTTGGGGACAGGTCATTTTCAGTTGCAGCACCAAAGCTCTGGAATGCCCTACCCCTTGACATAAGGAATAGCGGATCGATCACTCTTTTTAAATGTAAATTAAAGACTTTTCTCTTTATGAAACATTATTTATAACTTACAGTAGAATTGTGAAGCGCCATAGAGCAGTGAGTGTGTATATGGCGCTATATAAATACCATCATTACTATTATTATCAAAGATAAGTATCCTCCATAAAGCGACGGTGCAGATGTCAAACTTAAGGAGACCGCAGAATGGAGAAAACGGCAAAACAGACTGAAACTCTGGACTCATATGAACAGCTAAGAATATAATCTTTGAGTTAAGTTATTATATTTACTTTGCTATATGCATCGGAGTCATGTTAATTTTTAACACATCGGTGTCTTGAAGAGATCGCGACGGCTTCCAAAGAGTTGACGGGTTTAAAGTTAGTTTAGACAACATTCTGGAACAATCAGCCAGTGAAGGAATCGAGACACTTTTACTCGGGGNGATACTTTCGAAGATGTTAGAAATAGCAACTCATAATTTATATCGTATCAGGATTTTGTGAATTATTTACTTTGTTATGCATTACGCAGATGTCATAGCCGTGTTTCTTTTTATCCGAATTACAATTCATATCAATTACGACGGACCGGCTCAACATTATTCGCTAACATGAGGGGGTTTTTTTTAGAAAAAGCCTGGGTAACTTATTTGCCGCGTGGAATGCCTTAAATCTTACAAAAATACGTGAGCCAATTAGTACACTGTAGCAAGCTATGGTTTCTTTCAATCTGCTTGTAAAAATTTTTGCCGAGTGCCGCGTTCAAACGACTCAAATTGGTAGTACATGTCTGTGCTGGAGCTTTCTGTTGATGTTTTACAATAGAAAAACTGAACGAGTCAGCTGCTGTAATTTGGTAATTTTGAAACGAAGGAGAAACCACATTTTTACACTGTCAGCCACTGTTCCATCTATTGCTGAACTCTAGCTCCTTCATCAGCAGATTTTCAATTCAGCGAATTTGACATTATTTGAAGAAAAAAGTCCATGATCTTCTTGACCTCGTACGACTGTGTCTCGGTATTCTGCCCCTCCTCCGGTGGATGGCATTCATACATGTGCAAGGCAACACTCACCTCTAGAATATTTGACAGAGCTACACCTTGACTCAGAAGAGACTGGGACAACTTTTGATGATGATAATCATGATAAATTCATGTTACGGAAATTACATGAAATTTTCAAATGCGCGTAAGAATTTAAGAATTGGAATATTACTATCAGCTTAGGCTGTGAACAGAAGGGAATATAAATATTAAGTCACCCAAAAGACTACAATATAATTAAAAGGAAAAATTGTACAATAATTAATGAAACACTATGATACAGACCTTGAGTGTTGGTCCGGCCGGGGCTCGAACCCTCGACCTCCCGCACAACAGTCCAGCGCTCTATCCATTGAGCTAACCGGCCGGGAGGTTAGCTCAATGGATAGAGCGCGATTAAACGACTGAGGGGTCATGGAACTTTTTAATGAAAGTTCAAAAAAATCCCACCAGCCACCCCTACCTCGTAAAACGGAATGGTCCCTTAACTAGCTCAAGCTACAGTTAGGTACGATTTTTTGTTGATTCATACATCTGTGTGCCCATAAATCATTGAAGAGAAGTAATCAAATGGTGAGCCACCTCCGAAATAACAATATCGTCACTACTTAACACATCATCATTAAAAACATCTGCTTGTTCAAAAACTAGGCTGTTTTCTTCGAGAACAACACTTTTAAAACTTGGAGGCTCTTCTTTTGAGACCTTACATAAACACTCAGGAGTTTTATCCTGAACAGACAAAGCAGAAAAATTCGGCGTACTAGCGCCTGAAACTAAAGTCGCGTGTCCCTTGCTAGACACCGGAGGTTGTTTAAGTACTTCCACAGTACTTGTTATGACTATTTCAAACAATTCAAGTACCTTAATAACGATAGCTAAAATAATGGACAAAATAATGACGATACTACTCTCCAAACAAGCGCCTTGTTTTTGTCTACCAGTCTGCGGAGGGTGACTAGATGAATGTTTTGGCGAGGTTTGACAATTATCTTTGACAATAATATGTCGCGCTAAATCAACTCTCTCATCTACTGAAATATCGGCAGGCTTGGCTTTACTGAAAGTAAGTTTATCAGCATTGTACGATCCTACCGATAAATTTCGGTCTACAAGTTTCATTAAAGGTTTTTGTACAGTATTTGACGCCCCCATCACGGGTTTATTTTCTAACGAGACAGGGGCACTTTTCAGTTTCCCTTCAGCTTAGACTGCCAGTCAGAAGTGTTTTGACCCCTATTTTGATAAAAATTTTGTCTACCACTACCACGACGAAAATTGCCAGGATCAGGTTTTGAACGACAAAAATAATAAGTATGTCCTTTTCGACCACAATTATAGCAAACAGCATCGCCAAAACGAGACCTGGAACTCCTTGGCTGAAAATTCTGGTTTGAGGGCTGATTATAACCACTGGGTCTATTATTGATATTGCTTCCCATTAATTCGCGAAATTCGTCTCTAATAATTTGCTTCATCTCAGATCTGCTCATGTGAGGGTTTTGATCTGAAGCTGGACCCACAGCACTAATCGACTTATCCTTAGGGTTGATTGCTTTTGAGAGTTCTTCCAAAATTTGCGCTGATACTTCCTTATGGGTTAAAGTCTGCGCGTTTACTCGAACCTTGCAATACTGACTCTTTTAGCTTAGCGAAGTTTTCTGCCGATTCCAAATTTTCAGGTTGTTGCAAAACAACGTACTCGCGAATCTCGGGAATGAGTCCCTGGACAAAGTAGTGTGTCCATTCAGAATTGGGCAAATTAATTCTGGCACAATGTGTTCGAAGGCTATAG